CCAAGCGTGGCAACTATGGCAATATACCCCCCCATGAAGAATTACACAAATAGACGGCCTCCAGTCCCCGACGGTCCCGCTATTCCTGGCTACTGTGGCGACCATGGTAACGGCGGGGCAGGGGGTGCTAAGAATCTCCGGTGGATGTTCGGTTGCCACCTACGACGACTCGACCTGGCAACATTTAACGCACGCACCCTGAGGACTGGCATGCCTGTATGCTGTCAAATCTGTTGACGATTGCAGCCTCATCTCCCGTCTAACAGCCATGAGATTAAGAGTGTGATCGGAGAGTTTTTGTATTCTTCGCGGCGCGTCTTGCAGAAGGTTGCTTCGACTGCATTGACAGTTTCCACGAGCTTGTCATTCATATCGTCCACTGCATTGCAGTCTTCTAGGCACTGAAAGCGGTTTTGTAACTCGAGCTGAAAGGTTTCGGGATTCTGGATTAGAGCACGAGGAGGACGGAGCGTTGACTTCATTAGACGAGATTGGTAATTATGCATTTCATTTATTTTTTTGTATTCGACTTTGAAAATTGTTAAGCTATACTATGTTTATAAGTCAGGCGGTAAAACGTACATTGACTTCAAGTATTAGTATTAGCATCGAAACAAAACGACAAGTATTGCTTCCATATATTTCTTTATAGATAACGCATCGTTATGCGCTAAGTGTGTCTCATGGTACGGGGTAGGGTGAAGTAGGCGGTCGTTCAGAGATCACAAACCTGTTTCGACACGATTTGTGGTCTCAAGTAGTGCATATTTGTGAGAGCGGGCGGAGCGGGACTTATTCCTCATTCTGCTTTAGATGTAGATAATTAGATACTTAAAATTTTCGGTTATAGTTGTTGTTTTCATTTTTAGTAGGTTTGTTTTGTTTCTTGTATTGTTAAGTTTTGTATTTAAATTTTTTGTTATTGTTTTGTGACGTTTTGTATATTATCACCGGTATGGAATCGGATCCATCGTCATCAAAATCTTATAAAGATATACACCCTATTATGAGAAGTTTTGTGCATGCTTCAACGTTGACTTCTAAACAATGTTTGGCATCAAGAGGTGGTTATGTTTTGTATAATTATATATATATATATATATATATATATATATATATATATATATATATATATATATATTTTTTTATCTACCTACCTACTTATTAAACTACTTAATTTAAATGAATGTCAATTTACTTTTTAGTTCATACAAGTACAGGATAATCTTCTTTTTTGTTCATAATATGATAACATACACAGGGCCTGCGAAGAATTTCGCACTCAGCACTCTTATTTACTGATGAGTAGTAAGAAGGATAAAAAAATAAAACCAAAAAATAGGTGGGCTACCCCGATGATATCCTTAAAGGTCAATGTACGTTACTTATTTATTGTCTTTCTTAAAGACGAATGTTCCTTAATTTTTTTTTGCGCCCGAAGCAATTAAAGGGCTACCCTATACGTAGGGAGGCGGAAAATGCATTACGCATACCACGATAGCCGGTCTATCGTGGTTATGAGGGACTCACTGTCCTACCGGGGACCCTAAGTGATACCCTCTAAAAACCGCCTTTGGTGACAGGCAGCCGGCTGATTAAGCTGTATTGTGCCTTATCGTGAGCGACCCTCTTTTGGGAAAAGAGGGCGCAGGCGGCTACGAGCCGCTGAGGGAGTGCCTACGAAGGAAAATTAATATTAGTTAGTACAATAATTTAATTTAATTAGAGTTGGCCTGAGCCGCCAGGAGGCAGTTCAGGTCGTTTGTCAGTTTATTAGGCGGGTCCGAGAGAGAGTTTCTCGGCCTGCGGACTCGATACCGAGAGGGGGGTGGGGCTGCGTAGGTAGCTGCTTCACGAATTAATTGGTTTGGGTGCGACTCTGAGGCTTTGAAGAAGTTCTCAGAGAGTTTTTTAAGAAATTGTGGAATTGTTGGGAGCTCTAGGTCCCGATGAAGGTCGGCATTACGGACGTACCAAGGTGCGTTCGCAGCTCGATGACAGAAGAGGTTTTGAACTATTTGGAGTCATTAATAATATTAGGGTTTGTGTGGGCAAAGACGGGGCCCGCGTAGGACATGACTGGTCGTATACAGACCTTATAAAGGGTACGCTTATTTCGAAGGGACATTTTACTGTGTCGGCCCAACATACTGTTGAGCTTACTCAGATAAAACCGTGCGTGACCGGTTACTCTTTTGACGTGGGGCCTGAAAATGAGCCCTGTGTCCAGAGTGACACCTAAATATTTGGCGGTCGTATGCCAGGGGACAGGGGTCCCTAGCGTACGTATTGATGGAGTGTTTTTGAGACGGCGTCGTTTATAATCGAAGTGAACGGCGGAGCTCTTCTCCGGGCTCACATCGATGCGCCATTTTTTGAACCAAGCTCCCAGGTCATCAACTGACTTTTGGATCTTGTTCCGTATGAAGGGCAGTGAGACACCTTTGCAGTAGATAGCAGTGTCGTCTGCGAAGAGGGAGAGCTGAACACCTTTCGACGGGATGGGAATGTCGTTGGTGAACAGGATGTACAGCAGAGGAGCAAGTACTGAGCCCTGAGGGACACCAGCCTTGATAGTCCGTTGTGAGGATAGCGTGCCTTCGTGTCTAAAACGAAAGGTACGATACTCTAGGTAAGAGGCCACGAGACGTACTAGGCGATCGGGGAGACCTATTTTGTAGAGTTTGTAGATAAGGCCTGTATGCCAGACCCTATCGAAAGCTTTAGCTATGTCGAAAAAGACCGCGATGGTCTTATGACGACGAGGATAGAAACCGCTGAGGATATATTCCAGAATGCGGTGAACTTGTTGGGGACATGTGTGTTGGGCTCGGAACCCGAATTGATGGGGAATGATAAGAGGGTCACCGTCTGTGGGAAACAGATAGCGCCTCATACGTGATTGGATGACTCTTTCGAAGAGCTTGCCCATTGCCTTGAGGAGGCTAATGGGGCGATGACTGGAGGGGAGGTTAAGAGGCTTGCCTGGCTTGGGAATTCCAATCACAGTTGCCTCTTTCCACGTAGTGGGAAAGTAACTAAGGTTGAAGCAGGTGTTGAAGATAATAGATAAAAAGGTTAACACCTGCTCAGGAAAGTGTTTTAGGGCTTGGTTGGAGATGCCATCCGCGCCCGGAGCCTTTTAGGCTTAAGTCCTTTGATGAGGGATGAAATCTCATCATTGGACACAGAGATAGGTTCGGAGGCCGTAGGGGGTGAGTTCCGGCGGCGGACCTCATCCTCCACTGCCTGGACGTGTGAGGGGTCGACGGGTTGAGAGCTAGGAGAGCATTGTGCGGCAATGCTATCTGCAAAGCACTCAGCCTTTTTCTCGTCCTCGAAGGCAACCGTGCCGTCGGGACGGGAGAGAGGAGGAGTGTGGGTGATAGCGTCTATGCGGAGGGCTCTGGCCATCTGATACTACGCTGTATGAGATGGAGAGATATTCTCCATGAGTTTACTCTTTTCGAGGTCTCGAAATTCAGAGAGGCGGAAACGGAGTTCTCGTTGAAGACGATTGGCCGCGCGCCTATATTCGGGGGGTGGGATATTTTGCTGCTCTCCGGAAAGCAGCTTTTTTGGCTTTTAATAGGTTAGTAATATGTAGGGGAAGCCCACTATTGTTAGCAACCGGGACGACCCTTTCGTTCTCCTTAAGGGAGGATTTAATAAGGGTGGAGAGTATGTTCCTTAACTAAACAGTACATATTATATATTGTATTTATCATCATATAACAGTCAACTTCTAAGATTAGATGAATCAAAAAACGGTTTTAAAAAAAGTAGATCAACAACTCTGGCAGTATATAAACATATATATATATATATATATATATATATATATATATATATATATATATATATATATATATGTATATGTATATGCAGTATATATACATATATATATATATATATATATATATATATATATGTAAATAAAATTCCATATATATAGCATCGGAATCCTCGGAGTCGACATATCGAATAGTGTGCAGTTTCGTGGTCACTTGGAGGGGAAGACCAAATTAGCCCTTGCGTACTCAAGAGAGCGAGATAGTATTTAAAATAAGTATTAACAATGCGCGACTTCAGCTTAACATGGAATACTATTCTCATCGCTGGGCCGTGGCGCCCCACAGCCAGCTTCGTCCACTTAACCACATCCAGCGCAGAGCAGTTCGAATCGTCGACGACAGAGTTATTTCTGATCGGCTCGATTTACTGACACTGCGTAGGGATGTTGCATCCCTTTGTATTGTTTAGCGCATCTACCACGGGGAGTGCTCTGAGGAATTGTTTGGATTAATCTCAGCTACCGCATTTCATCAACGAACTACGCTGCAAACCTCCCGGTACCATCCTGATCATGCTTGGCGCTCCACCACTAAGTGTTTCACTAGGAGTTTTCTTCCTCGTATAACTTCTTTGTGGAATTGTTTACCACTGTCGATTTTTCCGGACCGATACGACTTGGGGACCTTCAATAAAACGGCCTCTTCTTTTTTAAAAGGCTGCAACGCACATGCAATCCCCTGGTTTTGCGGTTGTTCATGGGCGGCGGATGTCGCTTACCATCAGGTGAGCCCCATGATTGTTTGCCCCCTTTTCTGTAAAAATGAGATTAAATAAATAAACACCGATATTTATACGTGGAATGGGTCGATTAGACCGCAAAAGGACCACGCTCTCACAGAATGCTAGCGTAAAATAGCAGCTTAGTACTGCTGTGTTTCGTATGGTGAGTATAGAGATCCGGAAATCCTTTTTTACTAGAAATGAGGCGTTGCATCTTAGTCCTCAGTGGTGACAATTTGCGTATCAATTTTTAATCTAATTTTTAAAATATGAAATAACTACTTTTCACCCTTCAAAAAAAAAAGGAAATCTATAATCACAATTCAAAGTTCAATGTCAGGCAGCGGACTTTTATATGCTATAACGGTAATGTTAACTAATAAAAATAATTAAATTGAACTAATCGCTACCCAGGTATCAGGAGAATGTCTCCACCCTCCGGAACGAAAGACTTCGGGGCAACTGAAGGTTTTATGGCTCCGGAGATCATGCGATACGACGGCGAGGAAGAGTACAACGAAAAGGTGAGTGTAAAGCCTTTCTTACCGCGTAGTCGAGGCGAAAGAGAATTCACTGCCCTATGTAAACCAATGGGTGTCGATGGGTAAGAGTGGACAGAGAGATATCGAATAGCGATATGAGCAGAAATATCATCCTGATAACAATTTAACACAATAAAAAAACCGTTTCTACGAGTACTCCCTCACATTTGAATTAGTCGTTTAATTTTGACAGGACATAAAATTTTGTATGCATTGTGTAAAAGAAACCTTGTTCGATCCGTGAGGGTGCTTATAGGTATTTAAATAATTTAAAAATAAAACTGGCAAAAAAAAAATAAAATTAAATTTGATTTAACGGCGAAACTTATTACGGCAATAAATGCGTGCGGCGAACGTCTCTTAACAATACCGTCAGACCTTCACACGTTCGAAGATACCATTGCTGACGATTGTGTTGCCGGATTCAAAATGCATAATTGTAAGCGATTTGTAGTGTAAAAAACATGTAATTTAAATAAATATATTTCTTTTATATTCATCAACAATACTATGTTTTAAAGTTTTCATGCCATGAAGGTCACGAGCCTGTGAAGGAAGCCGTAGTGGAAGGTGCGAGGCCAGCGTTGACGAAGGAAGGTGTTGTGCGAAAAATAAATATGAAAAGTAAAATAAAACTGACTTTCAAAACTAAATATAATAAAACCATTTCCACACACATTATATTTCACACATTCAGATCTTTAACTACAACATAAGTAATACCTCAGCCCCCAGGCCCTTGGTCATGAATACATTTAAGGTCCGAAAGATCGGTTATTAAAAACAGTTAAAATTAAATGCGATTTCCGATGCGAAATTCGTAAAATTATTGCAGGCCGCGAAGCGTTTGAGGTAGAGCTTTTATAGTACATAGTGCGTTATACTGTGCCGGTTGAGGCGCATTCGTGCAACAACTATAATATATATCTTCATCATGACTTTAGCACTTATGCGGAAATTCTTTTGTCAAAAAGTTTATAAATCAAAAAAGATTTTGTTTATCCCGCGAACTATTCACGTGTCAACTTTTACGACACAAACGCAAAGACATTTAATTCTAATTTATTTGCTTAGGCTACATGAAGGTCCGTAGTTAGCATCCATAAGTAATCAAAGTTACTTAATTACTTGTAAGTATCGTCTTACTTCCCTGTTATCATGCGCAAGATACGTTAGGGCATACTGAAATGATCGGGAACAGAATATTTCGGATTGAGTTACAATAAAACTTTTTTTACAATTTGAATACTGGCCTCTTAGAATCTTAATGACATTCAAAAAATTTAAAATGTTTAAAAACAAAAACTATGTTGGTTTAATGTTGACACGTCGTTAACAAAATTGGAGCTAACGTGTGAACATTTCCGTGCCATAATTTATCAATATTTTCGTCACGGCTTATCTCAAGATTAATGTATCAGCGAACTTGTTTCGATTTATTATATTGAAGCACTGAGCTAAACGACAATATACCGCTGGTATGCCGAGTTCCGACACGGTCGTGTGTCGCTCAGCACTGTTTCTTCTACAGGTCGACCAAGAACAGCGGTCACGCCTGAAAACATCGCAGCTGTGCGAACTATTACATTAGATAACAGTTATGTGACATAAGAGCAGATTCGGGCTGTTATTAGTATCGGAATGACGGAAATTCAGTCGATATTACATAATGAACTGTGTGTAAGAAAGCTAGTTTCCCGCTGGGCTCCCCACAATTTGTCCGAAGAGCAAAGGGCGGCTCATGTAGATTGATGCCGGAATACTCTGCAACGCTTCAATGGAGGGAAGTCAATTACCGTTTATAATATCGTCTCAGGTGACGAGTCATGGATTTTTAATACGAACCTGAAAAAAAAATATCGGTCAGCAGTTTAGGTCTTCGAAGACGAGGTCAAACCAACGACAGTGGTTCGCTCCCGCAGCGTGTCAAAGAAAATGGTCGCTACGTTTGTCTCAAAAAAGGGCATATTTTTTTATAGGATAGGGTGACAAACGAGCACGAAGTCCACCTGATGGTAAGTGGTTGCTGCGGTCCATAGACATCTACATCTATCCTCGATTACGAATCAACATGCAGATATGTTGTCACCCGTGAGGACTAAGATGGAATGTCTCGTTTCCAGTAAAAAGGGTCTCCGGTTCTCTACACTCACCATACGAAACACAGCAGCACCAAGCCACTATTTCACGCCGGCATTCTGTGAGAGCGTGGTCCTTCCCCGTTCGAGCCGACCCATTCGTGCTACAACTATACCTCTAATATAACTGCAGCATGGCTCTACCACATATAAAATATTGCATATTGCTACAATTCCTATACAAGAACGCAGAACGCTTTACCTCTGAGTGGTATATCACGGCTTGTTTGCCAGAAAAGATAGCCAAACTCCGGAAAAATAACCCGAAACGTCGCATCATCTTACATCACGATAATGCGAGCTCCCATACGGCTCGGAAGACAAATGATTATTTGAAGCGGGAAGACGTTGAGCTGATGAGCCATCCTCCGTACAGTCCTAATCTGAGCCCAAGCAATTTCTTTACATTCCCTAGAATGAAAAATGTATTATGCCGTCAACGGTTTGAAGACCCTGAAGCAGCTGTGGAAGCGTACAAATCAGTCATTTGTTCAACATTAACTTTAGACTGGAATTACTGTTTTAATATTTGTTTTGCACGAATGGAAAATTGCATTAAGTTGAACGGAGAATACTTCAAAAACCAATAAAATAAAATTTATCTATACCGCGCATGTGGATTTTCTTATTCCCGATCATTTCAGTGTGCCCCTCGTACTTTTGCAACCCGTACGAATCCTGGATAATAGCGAAGCTGTTTTAAATAACAATCAAAATGCGGAAACGTTGTAACCCATGATCACTAAGATGAAATGCCTCGTTTCCAGTAAAAAGGGTTCTCTACACTCACCATACGAAGTACAGCCGCATTAAGCTGCTATTTTACGCTGATAGTCTGTAAGAGCGTGCTCTTACCCAGGTTAAGTCATTTCATTCGTCCTACAAACCGTAATATATACCTGCAACGTGATTAATATAATTTGATTATTATATTTTTTTATTTGATATTTAAAAAAAATTAATTAGATATGAAAATATAACACAAATAACGCCAAAACCAAAGGTCCAAGCAAGGGTACAAACAATCCAGACAATACAAATTATAATTCACGCCTCTTTAGACTTTGCGAAGTACCACAGCATACGGTTCCGTACTTGCGAACGTTTAATAATCTAGAGCAGTGGGTTACCGTTTTACGTAAATTGCCTATAAGGAAAACATTCCAGAAAACACCGATTACTTAGAAAGGAGTTTGAATAAAATTACGCTTTTCCGGGGAGTGCTATCGGAGTTTAGCGTACATGCTTATCTTTTTTGTTTTTTAACTGTGAAAAATTAGGCCATTATAATTTTGTGATTCGGATAAACTCTTATTTATCACAAAACAAGTAGTTTCGCCAAGGAATGACAATCGCAACTATAAATAATAAACTCTATTTTACTGAAAGTGCTTATACATCATTATATTTGTTTCACGTGTTGAGCATTTTTATGATATGATACATAGATGGGTATTTAGGGGCATTCAGGTGCTTCATTACAGGGGCATTCAGCAGTTGTATTATTGTTATAGCACGAATGGATGTGATTTAAAACTTAGTGATTATATACTCATTGGTATTCATGTTTAACTCAAATATTGAGTGTAAAATTAATTGTCAGAATGTAATAATTTTTGAAAGTAGAATATTATATTTCTTTTGCGTAAACAAAGTTATAATAACGAATTCTGGACCATGCAAAATAAATTTTAATTCAAACTGGCCTCTACATTAAAACGTATATCTTAATATATATAAATTACGTGGCACGTTTTGGTCCGCGATGGACTCTTAAACTACTTAACCGATTATAATCAAATTTGTACACTGTGTGCAGTTTGGCCCAGCTTGATTGATAGGGTAGTTTTTTTGCCCACAATTTTTTTTGCGAATTTAAGGATTTTTAATATGACATGACAATATTTCGTCGAAAAGGGCAGAACAAGTCTGCTGGCAAGCTAGTAAATATATGTATGTATATATATAAAATTAAATATAATAAAATTAAAACTTTAAGCTTTAACATCATATTAGAAAAACTCGCTGCTGCCCATCTTCTTTTACAGAGTCCGAGTCAGTGATCCCAGTCCTGAGTGGTCCAGTCCGTCCGTCCATGAGTCCTGGACATAGTCCATTCCGATGAGGTACCTCGAGACAAAAAGGAAAGAAGACAAAGACATTTTACCTGTCCGCGCGAGTGCTCAGTATCGTTGTGCTCCTTTACGGCTGCCAGGTACATCGGGCCGCCGGCCCATTGTTCTATTGTGTGTAGTGCTAGTTTTAGTGCCCCACGTTCTCCTGATTTCCAGTAAAAACTGTAAGTAGTTTATTGCGCACCTGCTGCCTCAGAGGCAGCAATTCTATTGTTTAATTTCTGTGTTAGCTTGTCGCGTTAGGTGACAGCTAGGTACACACCCTAGCGTCCCAACGCGCTAGTTGTATGTGTTTGTTTAGGCACACACCTCCCCCGCCGAAAGGTGGGGGGCTTGATACACAAGTGTTTTCTAACCACTGACAAGATGACGGCTATTACTATAGCCGAACTCGCCGACTTCTTCGGTCAAGTGTGCCTCGACGCTTGGGCTGCTTTCCTAGCCCAAAGCCACGTATCCACTACTGAACGTCCCGTTGTACGTATCGACAACCCTATGTCGTCGAGCCCCGGGCCCTCGACCCCTGTATCCATAGACACAGTTTACGACGCCGCGACCCCGCGTTTTTTTTCGGACTTTGTTTTCGGACGCCGAATCAGGCTCCGAGATGGAAATAGAGAATCACCGACCCTATAAACCCGATGATGAAGGCTTCACCCTAGTCTCGGTTAAAAAGCGCAAGCGCCCCGCCGCGAAAAAGGGAGACGAGCCTCACTCGGCCCCTACGTCGTCCAATGCCACCCCGGCAAAAAAAGTCGCGCCTTCCGCGCGCAAAATGACCGCGATCAAAACCGCGAACCCGACTCAGGCCGTACCTAGGAAGGAGAAGCCGCCGCCCCCTATAATCTTACAGGACAAATCGCGCTGAAGCAAGCTATCCAAGTGGATAGACTCCAAAAAGATATTCTGCCCCAAAGTCCACAATGGACCGCAGGGCATTCGTATCCACGTCGCAACGACGGACGATTTCCGCGCTTTAACTGCGCATTTAAAAGCTCAAACCTTGAGCTTTCACACCTACTCCCTCGCGGAGGACCGTAACCTCCATGTAGTAGTTCGCAGACTCCCTAAGGAGCTAGAAACCGAGCACATATTAAGCGATCTTAAATCGCAAAATCTGCCTGTTAGAGAAGTGCACAGGATGCACCATCCAACCGACAAAAAAAGTTATCTTGATCTTTGTCTAGTAATACTGGACCTATCTCCAGAGGGCAAAGAGATATTTAACATCTCACGGATATGCAATCTCACAGGGATTGTTGTAGAGTCCCCGCGTAATAGGGGCATCGTTGGCCAA